AATACATTTTATTGGTCATATATTAAGACTCTTATGAATAAAACTTACGTTACAAAATATTGATCGAAGCAATTTTAATTTGGAAATTTATTATAAACTAATAGTTAGCCCTAATAGTTGTTTATGGCTTGGACCGATAGTTGTCTATTAAAAGCGGTGTATTTTATACAAATCTTGTTTAAAGTGCACGTCATAATATTTTAACTGTACAAAGTTTAAATCTTTCAATTTAGTTAGTTTATTACAATAACTATAAATGAGAACCAGGGCAATACTCCTAACTGTTATTCTGTATCGCATGATCAATTTATTTTTCATTCTTTTCTGTTGTTGTCGATTCATTTACGAAACGTTAACTATTAAAAATTTGCATGCTTGTGACAATGGACTTTACTGTAAATACGTTTTATCACTTATGTTATTATAGGATCCAATAATCTAAGTAATATACGTTATACTCATACAATTGCATGTTGCTTTATGCTATGTCTTATGCTAAAGCGAGAGAGAGTTTAAACATCGTATAGTAGTTTGAAAAATTAGCAAAAAAGGACTTGTAATAAATTAACATCAACCATGGTGAACATTTCAGCAGTTTATTGGCCTACTGTTTTAAATATTAGACCGATCCAGGCTCTTGACAGTTAGTTTAACTGAAACAGTCAAATATCACCCGAACGCGCCGTCAGTTTCTACAACTTGATCGCTGACCGAGGCAAACTAAGTTACTTGGTCGTTCTGTCAGTTTGTCTCTGCAACCGTCAGTTTCTACAACTTGATCGCTGACCGAGGCAAACTAAGTTACTTGGTCGTTCTGTCAGTTTGTCTCTGCAACCGTTAGTTTCTACAACTTGATCGCTGACCGAGGCAAACTAAGTTCAGTTTGTCTCTGCAACCGTCAGTTTCTACAACTTGATCGCTGACCGAGGCAAACTAAGTTACTTGGTCGTTCTGTCAGTTTGTCTCTGCAACCGTCAGTTTCTACAACTTGATCGCTGACCGAGGCAAACTAAGTTCAGTTTGTCTCTGCAACCGTCAGTTTCTACAACTTGATCGCTGACCGAGGCAAACTAAGTTACTTGGTCGTTCTGTCAGTTTGTCTCTAAAACCATCGGTTTCAACAACTACTTGATCGCTGACCGAGGCAAACTAAGTTACTTGGTCGTTCTGTCAGTTTGTCTCTGCAACCATCGGTTTCAACAACTACTTGATCGCTGACCGAGGCAAACTAAGTTTAGTTTGTCTCTGCAACCGTCAGTTTCTACAACTTGATCGCTGACCAAGGCAAACTAAGTTACTTGGTCGTTCTGTCAGTTTGTCTCTGCAACCATCGGTTTCAACAACTACTTGATCGCTGACCGAGGCAAACTAAGTTACTTGGTCGTTCTGTCAGTTTGTCTCTGCAACCGTCAGTTTCTACAACTTGATCGCTGACCGAGGCAAACTAAGTTCAGTTTGTCTCTTCAACCGTCAGTTTCTACAACTTGATCGCTGACCGAGGCAAACTAAGTTACTTGGTCGTTCTGTCAGTTTGTCTCTGCAACCATCGGTTTCAACAACTACTTGATCGCTGACCGAGGCAAACTAAGTTACTTATTGGTCGTTCTGTCAGTTTGTCTCTGCAACCGTCAGTTTCTACAACTTGATCGCTGACCGAGGCAAACTAAGTTACTTGGTCGTTCTGTCAGTTTGTCTCTGCAACCGTCAGTGTCTACAACTTGATCGCTGACCGAGACAAACTAAGTTACTTGGTCGTTCTGTCAGTTTGTCTCTGGAATTATCTTAGTTATAACCTCTGGCAATCTATTTAGAACAAATAACCTGGTCCGCTAAAAAAAACTATAAAACTGGCATAACATAAATTCTTATTATGGTTACTATATTTTGTTCACCACAACTTTATATTTCAACACTTTTGTCATTATTGTGTGGACTAAAACTATCATGAACAATATCTAAGCTGTCGTTAGTACTAGGATAACTGGTCAATGACACGAAGGATAGTTTATAATTAATCTCTAACATTTTATGGTGCAATTCATATATTTGCAGCATCTTAGAACACTTTTTCGCAAACGTAGTATTTTATACTCATTGTTGTGGTTTGCCCCTGAGCTGGTAAGACAAATATTAATAGTGGTTTATTTACCTTGTATTTTTGTCACAGCTCAAAAAAGCTCTTTTTTGAGCTGTGACAAAAATACAAGGTAAATAAACCACTATTAATAGTAGTGTTTTACTTCAACGACGACACAATTTATTAAGATAATATTTCAAATTTTATGAGTCTTAAATATTTAATTTTACTTGAACAATAATTATGTAACAAAAATCAAATCTAACTCTTGAAATTTAGATTACTAAAATTAGATTGAAAAATTGTAATAACCAATTCTTGCCATTAATAAAGTGTTATATGATTGCTTTTTTTATAAAGTCACTTAGTGTCACACCCGATTGATATTCATTATTAACATGTTTGGATTATTTTAACTTAAAGAATGCAACTTAAAAATTTAAAAATAACTACTGCAAACGTATCCAAACAATTTAACTATTAACGCTATCCAGTGGATTGTTTTACTAAAAGAGCTTTTTTCTGTGAACAGAGAAAGATACTCCTGGTTCAAGAAATTTAGGTTTAACAAATTAGGTCAAAGCAATTTTGTGGTCAAAGTTTCAATAGGAATTCACTTAAGTTTTCCTTCTTCGTAACTATTTTAGATATAATTATTTTTTACATTTTATTTAAAACTTGCCAAGATATGTAGTAATTTAATGGAAATAAACATTTCATGTAGGTATGATTTGACTAGACTACGTCATTTATTATTTTGCTCAAAATAATTTTTTGTCTAACACCTATGTTTTGTTGTCAAAGTTATTTGCAATTTGTACAAGTACGATATGTTACCCCCTTTGTTGTATGGCTTTGCAGATGAAATGAGGGATTGTAATTGGAAAATATTAACATAAAATATTACATCCATGAATTGCATACGTTGATGATCTCAAAATGATCACACAAACCAAACTTACAGAAAATTTAACATTGCTCATCAAGTCTTACACCTGTAGTAAATATCCCACTATTTATCAAAGTAAGGCAAATATGGTGAACATAGTAATTTGTCATAACATAAATTAGCATGACATTATGCTTTGCGGAGATTATACGTGGCGGGCGGCATATTAATGAGTCTAGTTATCTGGTCCATATGCGGTCACTTTATTTATGTACATATGCTCTAATGGGTGCAATGCTCATCCAATGCCACCCCTCTATAGTGTTAGAAACCCTGTTGGAAAAACATTAAATGTTAATCCATAGATGACTTATTAAAATCTTTTGTTTACTTAAACAAAAATCACAAATATTATTTTGTACGTGTTGTTTGTGTTTGTAATTATTATTGTTTTCGTATTGAAATACATGTTATTCTTTTGAGGAGACAGTCATAACCATGCTTGTAAATATTTACTTTTGTTTTATAGCATAAATATTAATCGATAGCCAAAGGAAAAGCTGTATTTGGGGCTCACTTGTAATCAACTAAGCAACATTCAGATCTAAAGGCAAGCACTACAACCAGTATTTAGTATACCTTATTAGGGCAATTTTAAATGATTAACTTTAAAACCCAGTGATCAATGCTTAGGCTAATTAAACCAGTAAAATTGGACCAGGAGTACTTATTAGATTATATGATTGTGTTATAATTAATATAAGTACATTAATTTTAAAGTATTGAAATACGATATGTTTATTAACAAGGTATGAGTAGATAAAAGATCAAAAGTCCAAATAAATCTGTTCTCGGAAAATTATGAATAATAAAACATTATTTATAAACGTTTGATTTAAAAATTTAAAAAATCCTTCTTGTCATAAAACATTTTAATCCGTAAACATTGTAATGACTGCATTGTAAATGAGTATCAGAAATTATACCAGATGCCAGATCCACTTTTATTTCTTCCCTGTAGAAATATCTCAAGAGATAATAGGCATAAAGTAAGCGAGGCGGTTTCTGAATCAAAGAAAAGAATTCCTTGATCCTTGATCTTTGAATCACGGTTCAATTACTATGCTTTGTGACATTTAGTCTTTAATGAACCTTGGGTTTTACAAGATAAGAAGGAATCTCTATTTTTGGAGCAATTCTTTTTTGATCGCATTTTAAAGTGAAAAAAACTCATACACGTTTTTTTTATAAACTGAAAAATTTATGTCAATTGTTATAAAACAATTTATAAAATAAATGAAACTGATCTCTTAGTTGTTATAAATAAAGCCTTTCTCAGAATATTGTAAAAGCTAAAAGAAATCAAATAGCATTTTCAACAATACTTATAATGAAATCAAGCAATAGAATTATACCGAGAAGCATATAACCACAGTTAATAAAGGTTTTATATAAGAAAAATACATTAATTACTACTTTTATTTTAAATTAGAGTCGTTTGTACATAATATTAGAAAGTTTTAATCATTGTCATTCTATTTTATAACAGCATGCATAAGCATTAGGCTTTATGATATTTCGACGACACAAAAAGAATGTGGTTGGATATTCTTCAAAATGAAGTTGGATTAATTTATTGATAGTACTACTAATTTCAGAGGGCTTTTTCGTTTGGCGATTTTTTAAAGCTGGGAATTCATCCTCATATATACGATTTGAATCGGAATATCAGATTGTTGTATGTTTCATAGTAAGATAGACAGCAATTTTACTTTAACAAATATATTTACCTGAACACGTAAAGATAAAAATGTACAACTTATCAGAGGTATTTCTAAACTTGATATGAAACGTCTCTGAAATTAGTGAGTAGTTGATAATAGACGGAAATTTACGGAGTATACGATTTACTAAAATAGCTTGTTATCACAATTTTAATATCCAACAGGAATTGAAAAATACCCTCTTATCCAATTTATTATATTGAAGTTCATAAGTTAGAAGTGTTACGAAGCTTTAGATAGAATTACTTACATTTGGATCTTCAGGTGTAACGTCTATTTCATCAGGAGGGATGTCGTCTCCTGAACCTTCGCCGAAACCCTACAAATAAATGTGAACAATAAATAACTAAACCAAACAATACAGAAAATAAAACAAAACAAACCCTCTGAAAACACAAAAGGTATGATAACGCTTGAAAATAATAAAATAAGTAAGATGACTTGTAATTGTAAAATTGATTATTAATAAAATAATGACAAATTAATTAAAATATTTAATCAATAATCAATTGAAAAAAAATAAATGAGCAGCAAAAAAATATTCGACACGTCCTCTCCCAACATGATATTTATTAAATAAGGAATACATATCTTTGTTTAGTAATACGAGTAGTAATACTACACAAATTATCTGTTCTATATCCAATTCTCATTGTATTTTTATAGTATAGGTCTATCATAAGAGGAGTGAGCTGGTCTAGTGGTTAGAGCGCGGGACTTCGGTCCAAGAGGTCCTGGGCTCAAATCCTGTCAAATCACCAATGATAATGACAGTGATAATGCCGCAACCCCTAGGTCTAGCCTGAATTAATGTAAAAAACAATCCCAGTCTCGTGCCTAGCGTCCTAGGACAAAAAAATAAAAACAAAATCATTAGGTTTAATATAGGGGAAAGAAGATTGGTATGGCATAACTAATTACTGGAATTCTATGTGGAATTCGCCAATCAACCGCAAATAACTTAAAATATAAAGTCAATGTGAAATAATGCCAGCTTTCTACAAACAGAACGAATATTAGGAATTATATATATATTTAAATATGAATCACGTCAGTGTTCTATTAAAAGCTAGTTATATGAATTCAAACGAACTTAAGCACAGTAAGCAAATAATGATATGTCGTAAATATAAAGCTATGTCAGTACAGTACTACTATAACAACCAATAATACGTGTTCAATGTGGAATTACGTCAGCGCTCTACTATAAACAGCAAATTATAGGAATTAAAAGCGGATCTATGTATGTCTACTATAAACATCTATTAATAGAGATACTATGTGTATGTGTAACTGCACTAGTGTGTTACAGGCAGTAGGAACTTAACAACAGGAATTTAACGTGGAATTATGTCAGAGTTCAGCAAATAACCGAAATAAATTAACCGAAATAGATAGAAATATTCTGATTGTAGGCGTTGACTGTTAACAAAATTTTCGTCGTTTTTTACATTAAAAATATTTTTTTACCCCCCTAACAGGGTTGGGGTGTCTTATTTTTTCCAATAGCAACCCGTATTGAGTGACCCCTTAATTTTTAAGTGTTTGACAAAAGAAATGCAATGGCGCAAACCCGAGGTAGATATTTAATCCCTAGCCAAAATGACGGGTATTTCAAAATTTGATCTATGTGAAAAAGCACCCATTTTGGCTAGGGGTGTGATATTCACCTTGGATTCGCATCATTGTGTTTCTTTTGACAAGCCCTTTAAAATGAGAGGTCACTCAATAGTGGTTGCTATAAAAAAGTCACCCCCTACCCTGTTGGAGGGGTTAGAAAATCGTTTTGGTGTAAAAAATAGCGGAACATTTGTTAAGAATCAATGCTACAAACAGAATATTTCTATTTATTTCCGTTGTTTAAAAATACAAATTCATTACAAGACTTAATTTACACACTGTATAGAACTATGTCAGCAAAACTAATGATTAAATCCAACACGGAACTATGCCAATGTTCCACAAACTTGCTAGATTCAACATGAAACTATGTCGGTGTTCTATAATAGTGTTGGCCCTCCCTCTCGGAGCCAGCAAGCCATGGTTAAAGTCAATCACAGAGTAAGCAGCAAGGAGCATGTCGGGGTGGACACAGAGTAATGAGATTAGAGGGATGGCGGGAACCTAACTTTACCCTCCAACTGACAAGCTATGTTGTTAGCCTCAACTGCTCTAGTTGGGCAAAGTCAGGGCATTCGAGGTTGTGATAAGTTTACTGGGTGGTGTAAAATTACTATATAATAAATGGTCGTTTTATTTTATTATTTTAAGGGTGGGGGATCTAAGTAATTTATTGAGTTGATGTAATAAAATAATTACAGGTTTTTTGTTTTAATTTTGTTAATTTTAAAATAAGGAAAAAAATAAAACAAAAACAAATAAAGAAAATTTTATTCTGTTTCTAAATAATTATACTGGTGAATACTTAAATTTTCTTCAAAACTGAGTAATAATACAATAATGAAAATATTGAAAAAAGTTCGTAAATTTGTAATCAATAATTTGTCTTATTATTTTTATTACTATCATAATTAATGATTACGGAAATATCTATGAAAAAACTATGTACCATAGTTTCCTTTATTGTGATAACAACTCTAAACGTTTTTGTGTTAACTACAACGTTAATTTATAAATCCACAAATTGAAATCACGTATTTTAGTGAAAGTTATTAATGTTATAATTGACCATACACATACATCATGCAAAAAATGTATCTAAATCCACTTGGATTATTGTTTGCTTTGTAACAATACACAAATATAATTGTAATTCATATTTTTCAAAACGTTTTAAAAGTAAATTACGCAGATAAAGTTTTGGATATTTGCATTCTAATCCGAATTTCAAATTAGTTTCGGAGATGCAAACGAACCCCTTATAAGCATTTAAATCCTGATATAGAAATTACAAATTTATCGATCGGTTCAAATTATTTGTTGACAACGAAAATCTTAGGCGGTGTAAACATACTATGAAAAACTATACGAAATACTACACCTTTAAAATATTTAATACAATTTAATGAACAGTCAGGCTATGATTTTCTTTTTCTAAATTTGAGTTGGTAGTCTAGGGATGAGCCTATGAAAAAGAAATGTATTTATATATATTACACAGGAATGTTTGAGGTTTCATGTTTTTCTTCTTTTTTAAATCAACATACTCCTATAAACTAAGTTTCACAAACTGGAAGCTTAAGTAAAAAAAATTCTAAATGTTATACATTAAATAATACATTATATATATATAAAATCCTTAAATATATATCTTTATTAGGGATTATGTGTTTCCCACACACCATAACCTTTTACTTATGAAAATATACTTTGCTCAGTAAAAGTCACTAAACTGTAAGTAAAAATAAATCACAGCAAACATACTGCATGTTTTATTACAAAAAGCGAGGTAGCCGGAATGACATGGTTAAACACAAATTTGCAAGTCGATTGGTTCCGGGATATTTTCGTCATGACGACAAATTAACCGAATTACGGCTTAACAACGGTAAAACATGGTCACAACCGCGTAATAATTTTTAATGTGCATTGTTTAATTCCCCGTTAAGCCCGAACACAACATAAAACTTTATCAGCCGTGTTTACACGACTATTTGTGTGTTTACAAATTATGTTCACGAATAATTGTGTTTTTGGTGTGATTTTATCAGAGCTTTATCGTCCGCTGTTTTATGTTTTGTTATAGAAATTTAGCGGTCTAATATTGTGCTTTTCTGAAACAATCTACAAACATACAGTATCAATACAAACAATATAAATAAAGTTACGGTTATCATTTCCTATTTTCTTCAACTAAAAAGATCATAAATTTAAGTTTTTAATATTGTTGTAATTGTCCTTGACAATAAGTTAAGAGCATAAAAAAATCTATTACAAAATTGCGTATTAATTAAGGCCACAATCAATTAACCACCCCTAAACTCCATTTGGGACAGGTAAAAACCTAAGACAAGCCTAACTCCTTCAAATGAAATTTGGATTGGGTTATGCTGGGTAGTTATTTTATTCATTTATTAAAAAAAAGTATTATTAACCCATCAAAATAAATAAATGAATGAAATTACAGCCTGGACCAACCTACCCTGTCCCTTTGTACTTTAAAAGCAATTCTGCTAACGGATTTTGGTCAAAGGAAAGTAAAGTTTCTGCTCCAAAAATCTATCACATTTTGGCACAAGTAACGGGTTAATTTCCAGATATGTCTATTTAAAGATGCTGTTTGTATATACAAAGTTTGAATTAATATAAAGGAAAATTACAACAACAATAAAAAAATCCTCTGACTAATGCAATTCCACAATTTGTTTATTTTTCCAGTTTGGATAATATTTATACTCTAATCAAACAAAATGCGGTATAATACTCTATCATAATTGAAATTAAATATTTGTTTTTTTAAGACTAGTTGACTAGTTTTCTTTAATTATTTTAATGGTTTTATCCATTTTTTTATTTCTCCTTGCGTTTTATTTCTCGTCATATTTTTGAAATTTATTTCTAAGTAAATTTGTATATTTTTAATGAAAGTAAATGTGAATAATATTGTTTGTTTCACTTTCAAGTGTGCGTTTATGTTTTCCATTTTAAACATTTTTTGGATTAAGTTTACTTTGATTAGATTTGTTTTTTTAACTATTACACTGTTTTATAAACAGCGATGATAAACCGTAACTTGGCAAGTCCTGTTTATAGGGGTTTTAAGTTTTATCAGGTAAAACAGTGTACGACGATTAATCAAATGCCAAAGGTAAATAACAACACAACGGTCAACTGTTATCTTTAACTGCTAATTCAACAACTCATTTTATATATTCTCAAACTGATAATTTTATACCACAACTATGGAAAGTAAATAATGCACAAACGCAATCAAAGAAGTACGATTTATACTTTTAGCAAATATTTTTTTAAGCCAGTAGAATTATATATAAAATAAACTGTGTCTCATTTTAGGTTAAAATTAAACATTATCTATAACTTATTCTCATAATTCTAAGATCATTTAAATAACAGTACATCAAGTATATTTGAAATACATTAAACCTACGTAAGACAGCAATTTTAAACTTAAAATTAATATATAAAAAGCATGTATAACATACAAATGAGCTTAAGAATAACTCTACAATTTACGATCAAAGTTGAATAACTATTTGGCAATTAAATACCGAAACAGTTTAACAAATAAACACAAGTGAGTTTGTAGAATCGTTTTCCAGTTTAACAAAGCTTTGTTCGGACTGAACACCATTAGTTTTGGACAAATAAACTCGATTTACACACCTCTTTCCTATTTCA